CTACAAGCTGTGGATTGCAGCGAGAATCCTCGATGTCACCAAGAAAGAAATGAAGCTCCTGGTCAAGGACCGAGTGCACCCGGTGGGTGATATTATTTTCAGATGTTTTGCACTAGCTTTCAACTGTAAGTATATATCATTCGTGAGGGATGGCCTAAACCTTGGCAAGAATGGTTACACGGTCAACGTGAGCTCCATCATCTCGGCCATCGACCCGAACAAATGCGACACACCCCTGCTGGATTGGTGCCTTCGGAAAGGGCACTGGTTGCCAGAGGACTACAACAAGAAGTGTGTCCGGGCACGAGAAGCCCAGCAGAACTTGGACGAGGAGTTCCGCCGACGTACCCATAGGCTGTCCATTGGGGACAGGTATGCTTCGTGAAGATGCTGATTGCGGTACGATGTGGGTCAGTCCCAATCTGTTACTTGCGTCACATCGACACTGTTTCGGTGGAACGACTTATGTCATGATTTATATTCATGTGTCCAAGATGATTGGGTGTGTACATGGTTACATATTCCGATGACTATGACTCTCTGGATATTCATGGATGGAACTATTACCTTATAGATGATATCTTTTCATTATTTATGCATTGTCCATGGTATCTGGAATGGCTATGATTTGCATTGATTACTCACCGATGTTTCTTTGCCGGAGATATGCAGACCGATCACAAGCGGGCGCGTCTGGTGGACTTTTGTGGCCAACCCATTTATGGATGACAGCAGCGCGATGCGCAAATGCGGCAGCTGGAATGTTCACTGGCGGTCAAGTGAAGTGGCCACAGTGTATTATATACACCTGCATATGGATGTGTGCTTCGATTGGAGGATGAATGTTTCACTTTTCGTACAATCGAACCCGGCATGTTTCAAAGCGAATGAACGGTGTAGTGATAGCAAGTAAAAGAATGCACGACACGATTTCGTAGTTGAAGCCGTGGCCAGTGGAACGTTTTGTGGTGTTTGGACCGCATGAAGAACAATGCGACCCAAATGGGGGATGTTAAAACCCTCTAGGCCCCGTGCCGAAATTGGGTAGCTGTTCTGAGGTCCTTGTTGGTGTTGCTTCCCAAGTTCCATTGATCGCCATTTGGCTCAAGACCACAATTGGTGTTCAAGATCTGAGTGGTGACGCAGACCCTACGGATCGGCAATTAAGAGCAAAACACACCCCCCCCCCCTATTGCCCTTTTTTTTATGCGCTGCATTTGACAGGACCACTGGTGTGATTATCATTCCTTCTTCCTTACAACGTTTACACGGGTTCGGCTATAACGGCATCGTCCGTATACACCTTTCTACGTGGTTGGTATTAAAGCTTGAGGGTTCGGTGCACAGCGTCCCACGGGACGTCACCTTGCCGTCTCTTGACAAGTATGCTGAGGCATACATTTATGTCGAAGACAACAAAGTTGACATGGTCCCCGCTTCGCGGCGCGACGGCCAATGCGCCATTGTTTTTGCTGACCCGCCGGTTGGGAAGCACCACAGGCGGGCAGCCACTCCTAGGGGAGATCAACGGTCTGCTACCCCGCGACCTGAATCCAGGTCAAAGGGTGATCAGCAAAAGGGCAAAGCCCCTGCGCAGTCCTGGCCCAAGGGCGGAGGTCACAAGGGTGACCAGTTCCCAGGAAAGGGTCACAAAGGTGATCAGTACAAAGGCAAGGGTGGCCAATACGGCTACCAGCAAGGGCAGTTCGGTCGTGGCGGATCCGCCAGATCGAGAACTCCTACTGGCGGGTATCAGCCTGATGCTCGCGGGTCGGGATACAAGGGTGCTCAGGCAGCCCCTTTCCCGTTCCCAAGTCCGATGTACCCCGCTTTCCCAATGGGAGGGTACATGCAACAGCCAATGGCTGGCATGATGCCGCAAATGTGGCCTGGCGCAATGCCGCAGGGTTGGCAGCCGCACATGCAGGGTGATCCCCGCGAGTTCGAGAATCCGAACTCGCCGCATACCCCTACCTGGGGTGCGGATGATGAGTTGGCCGAGACCGTGCCTCCTCCTCCTGGGGACTGGAACGTCAACAAGGGGAGGGGACGGCACGGCGGCGGGCGACATCGGTGATACCTGATGTCCGTCTGCATCCGTTGCGTGGCAGCGCCAACGCGCGCGTGCTTTCATTCCGGAATTCACATAATGGACTATGCTCCTTGTAGTATCTCTGCATTTGGGCTAATCGCCATTTCAGAATTCAACTGCATGCGCAGCTGTGCGCTATTCGCGCAAGCAGCGATTACCTGTCAGGTGTGCGTCGCCGCAGCAAGGAAGTCATCCTCGGCGGCGTCTACGGCCGCTGGTGATCCGCTTACTCCAGCACCGCTGCTGCTGCTGGTGATGGAGCTCATCAAGGTGCCGTGGTGAGGATCACGGATGCGCTGCACCGCTGCTGGTGAGGTCCTACTCGGACCTGAACCGCTGACTGCAGCTGGTGGTATTTTTACCGAAGGTCTTCGTGTGATCCCGCGCCTAGACGGTGCTAATTTAAAGACCAGGGTCTCGTGGTCGAAGCACCATGTTTCAACCAGTGGGCCAAAGCGCCTGAATCACGAATTCAGAAACTAAATCCACTTGTATCTTATGATCCAATGTGGTTGCAGTGCAGATATTTCATGCCTGCCATCTTGGAGTTGAATCTTTGTTTCTCTCTTTCTTTTGCTTTTCTTGGTTGATTTGGCTACCGGCGTGATCCGCTCCATACCCGTAATTCGGGGTGGTGGCGGGATCCGGGCTCCAAAGCGGGCCCGGGTATGGGGTCGCGAACCCTGGTAGTCTAATCGTCTTTGTTCTTTTATTTGCTTTTCAACTTCAAATGGCCAATGCGCCTTACCAAATTCACTCCATCTCTTTGTACAGGCGAGGGGGGTGTTTTTGGGGGCATGTAGTTTTATCGCAACATGTTTCAACGCCACGGCCAACGCGCCGTTTGGCTCAAGCTTTTAACTGTGGCAACTTCCGCCCGCCATAACGTCGGCGCTCCCTCGGCGGCACTCGCCATCCATCCGCGCGAGAACAAAGCGCGCGGCTGGATAGGCTGTGGCCTTGGTGGTTCTGGTTGTGGGTCAGGCTGGTGGGTTGACAGTTCGCTTTGGTTTGCTTTGCTCGCTCGCTGCGCTGCTTTGTTTGCCTGCTTGGTTTGCTGCTTTGTGCTTGCTTTCGGTTGTCTCTGCCCTTGCTGGGTTTCTTTACCTTGTTACAACTGGCACCCTGTTTTGGTTCGTGTTTGGCCAGCCGAGGGCACCGCTTTGCCCTTGGGACTGGGGGACTTAAACAATCTCTTCTTGTTGGTGGGATTGGGCCTGTTTATTCTCTCCCGAAACCCTGTTTCAAACCCTTTCGCAGTTTTGTGCAGGGGTTCCGAGTTTTGCACGTGCTCCAATTGAGAATCTACAGTATCACCATTCAGTCTGCATGATTTGCCACGCCGGCCGCGGAATGGCAGCGTGGAATCGTTTGGAGTTTTGGAGTTTGGATGTGCAGAAGGGTTGAATCATTGGATACGGTTGGGTGAAAGATGGCTGAATTCCTGAATTCTGTACACCAAGAAAGGGTGCAAACACACATGGCCTGCACGCAGATGCTGGTCTAAACTTCCCCCTCCCCTCCTTTCCTGAAAAAGCCGCGGGGCACCCACGAAGGGCCTTGCTGTGACCTAGCGGGGCTTGTTGGAGGAAACATTCTATAGGTGCCCCTGTAAGATTTGACTCTCGGGGGCACCCCATGCGTCTCACTCACTTGCTCAAAGCCGGCTGTGATTTCCTGTTCCAAAAGGTTCTCCCAGCAGGGCAAGCTTTGATGTTCGGTCTTCGGGTCATTGTGAATGAAGCCCTCCCTGGATGTACATGTTTGGTTTTGTTTCGTTTGAAGCCATCCCAAAAACTAGCTGAAAGTAGATGGCATCATTCCCCTTCCGCAAGGATGATAAGCCCCGGAGAGGTTGCATGTTGCTTGAATGTTAGGACTTTAACTTTTTGCCAACCAGGGTTTCCATTAAACCACTAAAAGTGAGTCACTTTTAGCAGGGGAGCAGAAAGCAACCGAGTACGTTCACCCGTTTCTGACCTGAATTCGTTGTTTGAGGCCATTCCAACTGGTTGCCCTCCTTGAAAGATGACAGGTGGGCAAGTCCCAGGAAGGGTCCCAGTCCCAGGAAGGGTTATTCAAAAGCGTTTTTGATGGTTGTGTAATTTGTTTAATTTGTTTGTGTATTTTTTATTCCCCAGATAGCTGAAAGCTATAGGGGTTCTAACTTCTAACAAAGAGGGGAAAGTGATTTGCGAGATTGACTGCAGGGTGCTAGGGGGCATGCAGTTTGGGGTGCTGTTTGAGGTGCTGGTGGCAGTGCGGGCGCAGTTTTGCGAGATTGACGACAGGGTGCTATGGGGCAGGCAGTTTGGGGTGCTGGTGCAGGTGCTTTTTTGGGCGGCAGGGTGGTAGGGGGCATGCAGTCTGGGGTGCTGGCGGGTGTTGTTGACGGTGATGGATCCATCCTAGATGATGCGTGGCTGTGTCATCATGACGCTGGCTGCATCATCTTGATGCTGTTCGCACCATCGTGGCGCTGTCGAACTCACCAGGACGTCGTCGCGGCCTTAAATGTAGCGCGGCTACCGCGTAAAGGTTCGGGGCTGGTGCCTCAGCATAATGCCATCAGCATGATCATGATGCTGTCAACATCATCCTGCAGGTGGAGCCACAAAGATGCTGCGTCACGGTTGGTAGCCGTGGTATGCTATCTAGATTTTCTATGCTAGTGTATTTTTTTGGGGGGGGCAGTCCAGTGAAAACATCAACACAATATCTCAAGTATACCAGCTGATTTGTTGGGCCAGTCTTTTTAGTGGTTTGGAGAATCCGACTTGTGACGTCGTTGGAGTTTGGATGCAGCTCTGTCCCCCTTTTTGGTGGGTGGTTATAAAAGAGAAGGAGCCACCCATATATCCATCTACCAGACCCGGCGAAAGACCTGGGTTTGAGTTGATTAGCGCAGGCCGAGCACGAGGTCGGGGTGTGGGTGGTAGAGGTGGACCCTGCAGAGGCGGACAGGATCCGAGAGCAGGTGGGACCTCGATTTGCTCTGGCACTCCAGAAAAGGGATCTTAGGAGAGTGGTTTTGCTTTTCCGGGGTTGCACTGAGCATTTCTGAGCGAACGGGCGCTCCATGCATCCGAGCCGAAGACAAGCAGCCTGGTCCCAACTAATGAGCAACTACAAAAAGGTTGTTCAACGTGGTTTTGAACGCTTTTGAAGGCAGGGCAATGGGCAGTTGGCGTCTTAAATCTTGAGCAGAACAAGGAAAAGCTGGGAGTTTCCCGAACCCAGATTTATAAACCGGACTTTTTCAATATACATACATATGTATATATATATATGTATATATATATATATATATGTAAATGCATAGGTGTCCTTTTTGGTTGATTTGGTCAAAAAATAGAGGGCCCTGGTTTACCTGGTGGTTCAATCAACTACAAGGGCCATCTATTTTCTCAAAAAGGACACCTATGTATATATAAATACACCTACTTTCGTGGCTTGCCCGGAGGCATTGAAGATTGGTTTTGCAGGGAGAAAAAGCCGAGATCCCAATCTGGACGCGCCCTGTGTGTTCGTCCTCGCCGGGCTATGTGGAGGTTGCAGTCAAGGAAACAACGACGTATCTTTGTTTCTCCCATAGCCCCATACCTGTCGAGGTCTTCCGGGACAAGTGCTACACACATATGTATATATACATATATGTATTATACATATGTATGTTGTAGTTATACAATATTGGAAAACATTATTTTTTAACAAGTGTAGCGGCAGAGAGAGAGAGAGAGAGAGAGAGAGAGAGAGAGAGAGAGAGCGAGAGAGAGAGAGAGAGCAAGAGAGAGTGTTGCGTAGTGTAGTGTAGTGGAGTGTAGTGTGTTATGTCATGTTATGTGTTTCCTTATGCTGCTATTTGTTCATGTTGTGTTGTGTTGAGTATGGGTTGGGGCATCCACGGGAACGTACCTCTTTCGGGAACGTGGCATGAACGCAAAGCTGCTGGGGAAGTAGCAAAACGGAGGGACCTTGAGCATCTGAAACTGGCTGCTGCTGTTGGGAGGAAACACGAGAAAATGGGAGTTGGGTGGCCAGTCGCAAATTCCCGCACATCCGAAGTCGGAGGTGCCGACGTCCTACCAAAAGCGAGGGGACTTGTACGCCCCCTACGCGCAGCTTGGCAAGGCCTGAGCCAAGCTGCGCGGGGATGTCGGCCGGGGTCAGGACCAGTGTGCAGGTGTCCTCCGTTCCCAGTTCTTTTGCGTCCTTTGAATCCTTTGAAGGAAATCCAGTGACTTTTGTGCCTCTTCAACAGCAGCCATAGGGTCTCAGCACATCTGGGGTTGGGACGGCTCTTGGGGAGTAAACGAGGGGAAACCCCAATCCTTTGGACCCAGCCGCCTTGTTTGGATCAGCTCTTCTTTATTAGGGAGGCTTGAGTTGCAAAAGCAAGCTCGTGAGTGGCAAGAGAGGGAAGAGACTCCTACTACCCAAGGGTGCAAACTTCAGGGATCGAATAAAGGAAAAGCCAGGGATGGGGGTCGATGGAGTCTCATTGGTCAGGGATGTCTTGCAGGGGACTGCGCACACCGGGCTGGGCTTTTTGATGGGTGCCTCAGCCATCATCACTGTGTGGAGCAGTTCTGTGGGTGACATTTGGGCGCCAAATCAATCTTTGGTGCATTTTGCTTGGATGTTAGGACTTTAGCTTTTTGCCAACTATTGGGTTTTCCATTAAACCACTAAAAGTTAAACTTTTAGCAGGGGAGCAGAAGCAACCGAGCAACGCTGCTGGCACTGGACCATTTTAACCCCCGCCTGACGCAGCATTTGCTTTCCCCCCCCCCGCGCCCTCGAATCCTGCGCGCGGCCAAAGAGGCCGCGCGAACGGCAGCCCATTGGTTGACTCAGACCTTCTGACCCGCTTGGAGTTTGCCCGAGCCCTCCCTTGCTTCCCCAAGGGGTCAAAATTAAACCACCAGGATATGGACCGCAGGTTTTAGTCTTTGGTTCCATTTACCAGGGCAAGCCATTTTGGGTACCTATTTTTTACCCACAGCCAAATAAGCCCATTCACAAAATTTCATGGGGCCTCTAACCGGCTCTTGTTTTGGCCGAGGCAGTTCTGTTTCACCTGGGACCGTCGGAGTTTCTTGCTTACCAGAATCGGCTAGACACTTGGAATGAACTTGTGGCAGTACTTTTGAAGCTAAACCTTCTGCCATGATCAGGGCATTCTGTGCAGTAGTTTTTGTTTGTCATTTGTCCCTCTATTCAATTGCTAATTGCTGAATCAGATTTTGGGCATTTGCAATATTTTTGAGGTTGCTTGTCCTACCGCTTACTGGAAGCCCTCCATCAATTGCCCAGAGGTTGAAGGTAGACCTCTGGCTCGATAGAGTCTCCCTACTTTCCGACAGGGGACATCTGTCATATAGACATTTCTCAAAACTCCGCGGAACGCCAACATGGGGTAGTCTTCGTTTGGTTTCCTTTGAAGTTGGCACCATTCGGACGAAGCCCACCATTCGGAGGGGCCCCGAAAACGGCTCCTTCGCGCTGATGAGGCACCTGGACTCGGCGAAGCGGCGCAGAGGTGAGAGCTGCCTGTAGAAACGTCTGGCTCAGACTTTTAAAGCTATTACCCTTCCTCCTTTGTGGGGAAGTACCTGGAAGACAAATTTGCTTTTGAAGGGACCCCCTCTCAGTTGCTATGTTAGTGGACAGGAGGGTATACTTAGGATCCGTTTGGGGTTGTGCTTTTAGGTCGCGGTGCCCTTTGACCAACTTTTTGGGGGGAGGGTTCCCCTACAAAAATAGACTACAGAAGAAAGTTGGTACCTTTATTCTAGCCTCTCTACTGGAGGACCTAGGATCCATTTGGGGTTGTGCTCTTTTTTCAGGGGGACCCCGCCCGAAAGAGGTTGATGGTTTTCCTTGTGGTTTCCAGTTAATTAACACCAACCAAAAGGGGGTTCTTTGAAAACAGGACGCTCCCATTTGGGGCTGTGCTGTTTCGGTTAGTACATGGCTGATTATCAACTATATGCGTAAGTGGATGTGGGTTAGATGTCAATCCTATGGCCGAAGAGGATTCATTGTGCATTTTGAGTTTTGAGGTTGGCGAATATGAAAGCAGACACCAAAGACATGATTTTACGAAGTTTTCTCCAGCAGGGGCAAGAAACGCAGACCTAAGGCAGATTAGACAAGGGCCTCATGACATGTAGCATGACACCACGCACAGCAGAGAGTTGTTGTTTTTTATAGTCAATGTATGAGTCACGATCAAAATATGCGTAGATCACTTTAGTAAAGCTGGGTTGGCAGCATCAATTTGCAGAAAGCCTCGCAAACCGATAGGGCCCCCACCAAAAACGATAAGATGGGCAAAACGCTGTAAAACGATAGGGCACCCGCCAAAAACGATAACTCCATAAAAACCTGCTTGACGCGGACAAGTGATTTCGACGGTAGCTCTAATACATATATATATATATATGCACATATATATATACATATGTGTGTGTGTTTGTGTGTGTATGCATTCACATACGATTTTCCAAATTATGCTTGGATGAGCAAAGCAGCAAAACAAACTCGCATGTACGCACATCAGTGTCGCAAGCAAGAAGCACGCAGCAGAGAACGAGATGTTTGTGGACCTGACTAGTTTTTGTCCGCTTTTTTACCCAAGCCCCCTTTGGCTTTACCAATCCAATCTAGCGTCTCGCTGCGCGGCTAGACGTGCTTGAGCAAAGCGTGGAAAGGAGCGGCCCGGCGGAGGGATGCATGGAGTCGGCAGCCTTCTGGCCGCCCAAAGTTTGGATCCTTTGGATAAGACCCTTGAAGGCGTCGTGCACGAAAGGCGATTCGGGTGTTGGGTCTTGGGGTCTGGGGCAAAGATTGGCTCCAATCCTTGCGCAGTCTTGGGCGTGCAAGGTGGGGCAATCGCAAATATCTGCGAGCAAGGTGCACTCATCGCAATGCTCTTTTTTACATTTTCCTTCCTCCCAGCAACATAGCTGGGGGTCAAAACCAATGATACCATTTTCGGGTAGGTGAATTCACTACCCATTTTTGGCAAAGTTTAATGGAGATTGGGATGTTCACTGGGGTACGATTTGGATTCTGACCCTTCTACCCACGTGGCGCCTGACAGGGGGTCCATTGAAGAGGCAATTCTTCCAGACGCCCTCCCATGGCGCGCGGCTTTCTGGCGTGGCTGATGGTGCCTTGACGACCAAATTTCCCACCTATGGACTATCAGTTGAAAAAGGAGAGGGTGAGCCCCCTTTTTTTCAAAGGCACAAAATGAATGAAGCCCTATGCAAGCCCCTGGTTTGGTGAAGTTGGCATGAACTGTGGCTTAAATGGGAACGTAGCCATTCCTTGGGGTCTATCGGTGCAGTTCTGCATGTGTACAATCAGCCGTTGATTTTGCCAGCCCCAAGGCAGATCAAGGTGCGAGGGATACTGCGCTTGATGCATTCAAAGTGTGGGCGGTATTGATCCATCCCAACAAAGGTGCCTGGGAAGCTTCGATGCCATGTCTACTTGCACAAAACGGGTTGAATCGGGTTGAACTCAGGCATTTCTTCAGGATTGAGCTGAAGTCTGACACCTGGTGAAGGCTTCAGGCTCTTCATTTCATCCACTTTTCCCGCGGCTGCGGTTGAAAATGCGGCCTTCTGAAAATGACGGATCGCGGTGCCCTGGTGCCCTGACATGGTTGGTTTCCTTTTGGCCCTACGAAAAGTCCAGCAAGACAGCAAGAGGCCCATGTTGAGATGTTTGCTCTTTGATCTGGTGGGCCGGGGGCCGTTTGTTGGAAATATGTTTGCACTCCGCGTGGATTCTCCCGTCAGCGGGTCAAGATCCACAGGCCCAGTAGAGTTTGCCAAGTTCCCTGCCAAACCGTTTGGGGACACCGTTGATGAGAAGAGGAAAGGAGCTGGTCGCGGGGACGCCTTCTGCTTCAGCTAAAGCGCCGCGCTTGAGGTTGCAGGTGTGGATCCTTACCCTGTGCCCCAGCTTGCTTTGCCTTTTCCCCCCCCCCCCCCCGCTTCGCGCTTGACACGAGTGGAGGGGGGGTTTGAGGAGCACGCGCTGATGGCAAGCCTCTGCTGCTTTGCGGGCAACATCGTGGCGCGGCTCCTGGTGCTGCAGGAGCCGTGGCCGGATGCGCGCCGGCCTCGGGCCTCCCCGTTGTCATGCGACGCATGGCAACTGGAGCTCCCCTGAAAACTAGTGCTTGTGGTAATCAAGGTTCAGTTGGCGCTGGTTGGCGCGTGCCAACTTGGCAAAGACCCATCGTGGAAGTTTCGAATGCCCATGACTCACTCCAGGTGCCGGATGAATGAGCTGTTCAAAATGGATCCGAAGACTTCAGGATTGACCTTGAACACCCCAATTGCTTGGGCTTCAGAAAGAGTTTCGAACTCATTGTCACCTTCTTTTGGAAGCGTGCGAGGCTCGCAGCAGAGCTGTCAGCTCGCACGCCGTGCCTCGAGTGCGGCTGGTCGCCAGAACTTACTGCGCTGTGGGCAGCGGGCGCGCTGGTTGCCACATGGGCGCTGCTGCGGGTGCGGGTGTCCCAGTGTGGTCCTTTCGGAATAATCGCCGCTTCTGCTGAAACAGGGGGTCCAAAAGATGGAATAGTTTCTTTAATTGAGGGAGGATTCATTAGTCAAAAGCTCCATGCCGACCTTGCGCCCGGAAGTCGCTGAACATCTTGTCACAAGGGGTTTACGAGGGCCAATGCACGCGTCAACTCGGCACGTGCGGCGGTTCACAGTGGGAGCTTGAATCTATTGCGCGAAGCACCAGCTGTTGCACCGCGACCTGGGCTTTTTCAAAGCCAAACATCAGCTTGATTGCTATTGGGCAGGATTGTTTTTTGGGACACCAAGGGTTTTCCGTTGAACACCAAGAAAGTTGTTCACTTTTTGCAGAGGGGTCGTTACCGCAAGTCATGGCCCAAGCGCGTTTTTTTTTTGGGGGATGGGACGCGTCAGGCGAATGAGGGCTCGCCCATCCTCATGGCGCAGACGGCTGGTGAGCTCCAGTTGCTTGGGCCCTGCCGCCCTGCCCAGCGCTTTTTTGCATTTGCTTGGGCGCAGGCGTCCCTTGAAAACCAGCCGGGACAACATGAAGTCAGGTCCCCTTGGTGGTTTTGGGATTTCAACGGGCCGCTGCTTCCTGTAGATGGTAAATGGGGTTTCCCACCCCGAGGGAAGCTGATGGGACTTCTTCATTTTCTTTGGGTGAAGGTATTGCTGGATGGGCGCCCGTTTGAAGCGCGACGGCTGACCCAACCATCCGGCAACCTCTCACTGGTTTTGTTTGCGGCGTCAGCTGTGATTGTTCCTGCTTGCATGTCACACAGCCAAGTTATTGGGCCGTGTGGCACGTGGGCCTGGACGGGCCGTTGGCGACGTGTTGCCCAAAGGGTTGGAAAATAAGAGGTCAACCTTTTGGGCCTTGACTGCGTACGTTACGGATCAAAATGGGAAGCCAGAAGGTCAGAGGCTCAGTTTTGGGGAATTCAGTTGTAGGCCCAATCCTGAGACTTTGCGGACCTTTGCGCTCAATCAGACCTGGAAAAGAGAGGTGGCAATTCTGGTTGCGATGTTGCCTCTGACATTGTCCACCCCCTACTTGATTGAATCCTGAGCTACTTGCCGTGTCCCATGCCCAATGCAATTGCTTTTGTCAAGAAGCCAGTGGCCAAGCTACGTGGGGTGGTAATGGCGAGCATAAAGGTACACCGGGGATGAGATGCTTCTCCAGCCTACACGGCATCAGTGCCCCTAAGGTGCTCAACAGTAGCAATGGATATTCGCAAGCGCTTGGCAGGGTAGTCCCTTGTTAGGCTACTTGGCTGGAAGCAAGTACGGAACACCTAGAAATGCAAGTTTCCTCTTGGAGACCGCCCTGGGTCGCATCAAACCAACCAAGCAAGCAAGCAAACCAACCAACCAACCGACCAACCAAGCAACCAAGCAACCAAGCAACCAAGCAACCAAGCAACCAAGCAACCAAGCAACCAAGCAACCAAGCAACCAAGCAACCAAGCAACCAACCAAGCAAGCAAGCAAGCAAGCAAGCAAGCAAGCAAGCAAGCAAGACCCAAGCAACCAAGCAACCAAGCAACCAAGCAACCAAGCAACCAAGCAACCACCCAACCACCCACCCACCCACCTACCCACCTACACACCCACCTACCCACCAAGCCACCCACCCACACCCACGCAAGCAAGCAAGCAACCAATCAACCAATCAACCACCCACCCACCCACCCAACCAACCAACCAACCACCCACCCAACCAACCACCTCCCACCCAACCAACCAACCAACCAACCAACCAAGCAAACACGCAATCAACCAACCAACCAACCAACCAAGCAACCAAGCAACCACCCAACCACCCAGCCACCCACCCACCCACCTACCCACCTACCCACCTACCCACCTACCCACCTACCCACCTACCCACCCACCCACACCCACGCAAGCAAGCAAGCAAGCAACCACGCAACCCACCCAACCACCTAACCACCCAACCACCCAACCACCCAACCAGCCAACCACCCAACCACCCAACCAACCAGCCAGCCAACCAACCAACCAACCAACCGGCATGAGACCCATACCAACATAGCGACCTCCGTCCAAGCTGAGGTTATTGGCCCTGCTGAAC